AATTCCCCAGCCAGCTGGCTGGGGAATTCTGGGGGTTGAAGTCCACCCAGCTTAAAGTTGCTGAGGTTGAGAAACACTGCTGTATTGTATGAATGAAACTTCAGTTCTGCAGAAGGCACTGGAGCTACAGTTGCAGGAAAGCTTAAACGGCAGCTGATAGACTTGTCTCTTTGACACGGAAGCCCACAGCCATGTCTACTTTCCCACCATCTCCAAGGGTGCCAGGCCCTGTTGCCTGCTTAAATAAAGGCATCCACATTCTTCTTGACCAGAACTCTGAACTGGCACTGAAAACATCTCCAGCTGACTTATAAAGGGGTTCCCACAACAGCTCCAGGGCCAGCAACCAGAGCTGCATCACACGGGAAGCAGGCTTAGTTTTTGAGGGTCCGGCATATTTCACCGTACTCTTTCAAAGGAGCTTCAGATACATTACCATATTCTGACAAAACCAGTTCAGAATTCACCCCGAACAAACCCAGACAAACTAATTACTTTAATTAACCAGTTAAGCATGTTGTACAAACCCATCTAATGTGAAGTTCAGTAGCACAGACCCTCTGACATTGATGGGAGAACTTCCAGGTGGGTGTGAAATGCAGTTGGCATAGCTGACCCCCTGCCTGTTCAGCTGATTCTCCAATTAAAAAAAAACGAAACAAAAAATTGCAACAGAAAGGGTGAGCATTTATTTCCCACTCAAGGCTAAGAACATCATCTCCAAATTAAGTTAAGGGGTGGTGCTTGTAGATGTTTCTCTTGGGTGTGTGTCCGGTTTTGCTACCAAGAATTGCAGACACAAGTTCTTCATCAGCTCCTCCGGTTCTCAGGTTGCAAATCAAGCTCTTTAACCTGAGGAAGAACCTCTGATTTTTTTGGTGAAGATGGGGGTGGAGAAAGAGATCTTTGGTGGTGGAAAATTCCAAGAAATGACAAGCAACAACTCGCCTCCAACCAAACTCTCAGCTACGCTGCAGGGAAATGAAGGAAAGAAGGTATAACATAGAATTGGTGAGAAACACCCAGCAACCTCATTTTTGAAAAATAAAGAGCTATAAAATTTTCTCAGTTGGAAGGAAACTAAAATATATCAGTACTAGCAACCCAGTTAAACCACTCAATATGGGAAGCAAAATTCTGGTTGCATTCAGAGGATACCATAAAATGATTGGATCGTTTTGGGCTTGGCATGTTGCATGATTATGGTGATTATGATTTATGCACCCATGGTTTACAGGCCAATGTGTTGTGAGACCCAAATCAATTGAAGTTTGTTCAATCATCCCTATTTAAAGTAACCATGGCTTACTCTGATGTGTGCACCCCGGCAGTACAGTTAGGTGATCTTCAAATCTGCCAGGCTCAAAATACTGAGAACAAAAATCACTCAAAACCACACATCAATTACTAGGAAGCAAAAATCAAAATGAAATTGAAATCAAGCAGCTCTAACTCTTGGAGTAACAAACAATGATCCTCACTTCATGCCTCAGCCCCACTCTGTGGAAAAGAAATATTTTACCTTTGGTTGTACCAAAAAAAAAAAATCCTAGCAATTCCTTTGAGGTGGAGCCGACGATGCACCAAGCCACCTTCCCCCTTGAAAGACCCGGAGAACAGATCGCTCATAAACTACACTGAACCACATTTTATTAAAAAAATCTGCAGTTTCAGATTTGGAAGGAATTTGCTCAGCTCCAGAATGCAGCCAAGATTCCAGCATTGCTTCTGAAGTTGGGCCACAGGCATCTAGGTTCAACTACAATAAAATCACCTGGCACTATCCCGCAAATAACAATACAAATTCACAAGTCACATGAGTAGGATTTACTCAGGCAGCTTCCAGGTTAGGGTTCTTTGCTAGACTTAGATGTCCACAGGGGAGACACCTACAGCAATGATGTGGGAGACTAGCCCAGAACACGCATGTGGAAGCACCCTGAGAAAACCCTACTCATGTGACCTGTGAACACACCCTGTGTGATCCAAGAACTGTGTCTCAAGATTAAGCAGCTGGCACCCGCACATGTCTTCTGGGACTGATGCCATTGAAACGTTGCCCTGTCTTTCTCCCCCCTCAACACACCAGAGAGAGAAATCCAGCTGATCGCACATCCCGTTAAGCCTTGACTTATTTGACTATGTTTTCTTGCATAAACCACAATCCAGCGGGTCTGTACAACTGCTGGGTCATAAAGGGGTTTGTTTGCTTTGGCTATGTGAAGTGTGTGACTCATTTTCCGTGCCCAGAAAGCAGTTCCTTTTCTAGAGGCGAGATCAACACAGTCAGACACGCGGATACAGCTTCCCCCAGTTCAGGGCTTCTGGACTGTGGCCTTCAGCTTCTAGTGGACTGGTCCCATTAGCTCAGCCACCATTTCAGCCCGTGGCTGGTAGTCTGAACCCCAAGAAGTGAATTTAATCCTTGCCCCCTGCAAGCCTCCTCTTCTCGCCACTAATCAAAATATCAGTGCTGCAGTTTCCTGACACGCTGAGGGGAGAAATCAGAAGACTCCGCAGGGGATGGGGTCAAAAAAATCAAGATGGGAGCTGTGACCATGTGGTCAAAGTCTTGCCCGTTATACATGTACGATCATCTTGACCTTTTTGAACATCTGCCCCGGCAGATGTCCCTGGAAATACATAAAAACAGCAGTTAACAACCTGCTCCTGATGTTGGAATAGTGAAAAGCATACCGAAAGCACTCAAGACATTCTCCCCAAAGCAGAAAAAGAAAAAAATAATAACCTCAGCCCTATCTATGTGGGTGATCCTTCCTAACCAGTTTGTCCATTCATTGTGGCCCTCAAGCCTCCATAAAAGTTCAAATGTGGCTTCTCCATGTCCACAACCGATTTGCTGGTCGAAATTTACTGATTAAAATGAACAGAACTTTCCACATATGATGTGCTGGATTCGCCATTATAATGAAATTTGCTGACCAAATTACTTTCAAAGAGTGAGACTGCCTATCATTCAGAAGTCTGGAGAGTTTTTTAGTCTATTCACTGTTTCCAGTGTATCTGGAAAGCAGAAGAAATAGCAAAGGAAGGAAGGAGGGAAGGAGGAAAAGAGACCGGGAGAGAAGGAGTATTTGTAAGGAAATCAGAAGGTTTATCCAAAACCACAATACATCCTAGAGTGTCCTTGTTCATATTCTCTTTGCTTCTCCCCTTTCCCCTTTCTTCCTCACTGTACAAATAGTGGCATAATCTCAATCTGTACCAAGAGAAGAGCTGATGTCTCCTTCATGATGTCTCCTTCTTTGCCAGCATTTTCACAAACTCGTCAAAGGTGACCTTCCCATCTCTATCCAAGTCAGCCTGCTTCATCATGTCCTCCACCTTCTCATCAGTGAAGGATTCCTGGAGGTGGATCAGAACGTGCTCAAGGGAGCGCAGGACTGTCCCCAGCTCCTTCGTGGAGATTACACCATCGCCATCCATGTCAAAGTGTGAGAAGGCCTCTTGGAAGACACCAATCTCTGCTTCAGTGAATTCATGAGACATGCTGCCGATCACCTTGTCCAACACAGTGTCTCTCCTCAAGAAAAGTGCACTCTTGGTTTCTCCAGTGAGACAGGAAAATCTGGTGTCTGTTATTAGGAGAGAAGGGGCCAGTCTCCACCCTTCTTGTGGCTTACGGCCTGGATCTGGAACCTACGAACCTGTTGTAATGCTACCTTGCCACAAGGGAAGATGGATTGTTGTTGGGTTGGTTGATGTAGGAGGTATCCCAAAATCTACTGCAACCTCAAGAATGAATGGAAGGTGGAGATGTCTTCATCTTCTTTGCATAACACGCCTGGCTTTATGACATCATGATACAACACTATTGTAATCCAGATGTTATAATGAAGCAAGTCATATAATTGTCCAGTGGACAATTATTCAAACACGCCTCCTCTTACATTTCTTTTTTTAATAATAATTTTATTAAATTATTATTTAATAATACTGTATTATTATACAGTAAATTTTATTAAAAATTATAATTACTGTACAAAAATAAAAACGATTACAAATTAAAAAATAAAAGAATAAAAAAATAGTGCAGAAAAGAAAAAAATAGAAAGAAAAATAGAAAAGAAAGAAAAATAAGAATATAGTAAAGAAAAAGAAAAGGAATATATAAAGAAATGACTTCCCCCTTCATCACAACAAGTATAAACAATTTTAGTAACTTTTCACCTCCTTTTAAATTTAATTACTGTACAAAAATAAAAACGATTACAAATTAAAAAATAAAAGAATAAAAAAATAGTGCAGAAAAGAAAAAAATAGAAAGAAAAATAGAAAAGAAAGAAAAATAAGAATATAGTAAAGAAAAAGAAAAGGAATATATAAAGAAATGACTTCCCCCTTCATCACAACAAGTATAAACAATTTTAGTAACTTTTCACCTCCTTTTAAATTAGAACAAATGATCTTTTCTTCCCATTTCCCGTCTATTATCTATAAACAAATCCATAAAGCCTCATCATTTCAGTCCTGATCAGCAAAAGTCCATTAAGGGTTACCAGAGATAATAACATATCTATTTTAAACTTGATCAAATAAACCAACTTTATATTCCTTTCTTTTACTTTTAACAATCTTGGTCTTTAGTCCCTTCTAATACTGCCCCTTCTCTTACATTTCTTCAGTTTGTAGAAGACACTCTTTTATTGCTGGGGAGGGTATGCTTCTCCAGGAAGGATACCTATTGCAATTACTAGTCCTTTGCACAGTTTGTAATGAATGCCCAATTGATGCATAAAAAACAATATGGAAGTTATGCTCATAAATTATGGTGATGCATAAAATAGACTTCCTGACGGATGAGGTGTTAGAGAATGGGAAAAGGTTGTGTTTTGAAGATAATGGTTCTCTTCCTTTAGAAATCTTTAAGCAGAAGCTGGATTGCCACCTCTCAGGGATGGTGTAGGAATTAATTTTCTTCATTAAGCAGTTAAACCCAGTATGCTAGCTGGGGAATTCTGGGAGTTGAAATCCACACATCTTAAAGGTGCCAAGATTCAGAAACACTGATCTAGGGCTTGCTCTTAAAACACAGCAATTGCTGGAATCCTTTCATTATGGCCTAATTTTCCTTCAATATATATTATTGTTCTTTCTACCTTGTGTGCTTTAACTGCTTATAGACTTGCCTACTGGGTGAACTTTGAGATTACCCTGCCATTTCCCACTGTGGATTTCCCTTTGCTATCAGTCAATTGTTGGGTTGTAAGTTGAGGGGCGCAAAACATTTGGAATATGAATCATGTGGAGCTCAATATGGATTGGAAGTTTACTGGAAGTGTCCTGGCATTGTTCTGACTATGGGAGGGTTCCATATCTGGTGGAACCCTGTTTCAAATTTGAAATGTTTTGAGTTCAAATCATTTTTGTGAATAAAATTGTATTTATTTTTTTATTGAGCATATTTATATAGCTGCCCATCTCACAAACATGTGACTCTGGGTGGTGTACAATGCAACAACAGTTAAAAACCCCATAACAATCTAAAAACAATAAAAAATAAATAA